GCAAACGGTTAAGTGTGGGGGAGTTTGATAACGAGGTAATTGCACATGTTTGCGCCCCCTAGTTCTTATCCGTTTGAGGGGCATAGTCGTGTGTTGTGGCCTATTTTACGCCGGGTTGTGCTATTTTGTCATGTTTCAGGTCCCAGGCGTCAAAGGGAAGGCTAAGCGCGAGTTTCGGGGCATTCGGAAGTCATTTCGATGAGCTGGAGCCAAAACACGGGCAGCCTAAGGCATTACACGGCCGTGTACCTCTGGTCGTGCTTTTTATGCCGAGAGCAAATTTGGTTTGGCCAATTCAGTTGCAAACACGGGCACTGAAGCACGGCCGTGTTCAATCAAAGCACGGCCGTGTACCTCGCGAAGCACGGCCGTGTTTCCAACAGCTGCTGGCCGTGTAATTAAACACTGGCCGAAACACGGGCAGGCTCAGGCAAAGCACGGCCGTGCCCTCGACCGTGATTTGGGCACTGATGCTTTTAAGCAGATTTTCAGCCACAACTCAGGGGGATTCGAGTTTTTGAGAGAGAGAACGATTCCTAGAGAGAGAAAGTGACGAGCAAGAGTTCCCAAGTGCCCTAGATTGATCTTCAACACCATTGGAGGCCAGCTTGAGCTTGGAGAAGTGCCGATCAACGTCCAGAAGCAGGAATCCATCCTTCGCAGTATGAATTCCGTGTCTGATTCTGCTTTTGCTTTCTTCTCTATGGAGTAGTTCTCCCATTCATCTGGGTATGGAGAACCCTAGATTTGTATGTTAGGCTTTGATTGTATGAACCCAAGTACTGATTCTGTGATTGATTATATTCGATTGAGGTTTTAATGATTGAATGACTTGAATCCTGATCAAATTCCTGTTGTTTCTGCTTTAACCTAGAATGAGAATATCTGCTTAGGTTAATAGAGTATCCTTGATTGAAGGTAGGGAGTTGGTGACTTTAGTCGAGGAGCCAACTCACTATTCTGTACCGGATTTACTCTGGTAGTGGAGGTTTTGTTCTTAGGGCCTCAATCTGTCGACTCCGGTGGAGGTTAGTCGCCCGCTAGAGAGTCAGATTGAGAGGGTCTGAAGACCTTTAGTCGAGACTTCAGGCTGTTTAAGAACCTTCCGCAGTATAATCTTCATAGAAACTGAACTTGGTAATTACAATCCGGCTTAACTGCAGTCTAGGGGGAACCATATCCGGGTGACCTCCCTTTAACCTGAATACAACAGTTTACTTGCTTTGTTAGTTTGATAGTTTAGACTTGCATTCCAGTTTCATTGCTAGATAACACGAATTCACTGAGTAGTCATCATATCTAGGACCCGGGTTGATAATTAAACCCAAACCCGCTATACTACGCTTTAGGAAGTGGTTTCACTTGGCCAATTCCTGGAGTGACAGTAGAGTCGATTCAAGGAGCTACAACAGAATCCCCCCATTTGAAGTGCCATAACAACTCGACGAGAAAAGCCACATGTAAAGAATAAATGCTCTCTAGTTTCTACTTCATTACCACACAACACACACAGCCCATCAGTCTGCTTGCCCCACTGCATCAGCTTCTCTTTAGTGACAATACAATCCAACATAATCACCCAGGTCAGAGAGCTGTTTCTGTGAACATAATTCTTCCCCCAAATAAGCTTTGCCCAGTCCACCACCTCATACTTGACTCGCAAGGTGTTCCAAACTACAGAAACTTTAAACACATGCATAGGTTTATTGTCCCAAAGAATTTGAGTGTTACTTATCAAAAGTAAAGGTTGGATCAGAGTGCGTATCTTGAGAATACGCCTCCAAGCCTAGGAGCTGCTCTGACAGGCAGAAACAGTCCATATGCTTCGATCCTTTACCTTATACTGCTGAAACCAAGCCACCCAGATAGCTCCACTCTTCATTAAGAATATCATACAAAACTATTCATCACTTTTTTACCATTTATATGACACAAGAGTATGTCACAATATCATACAGAAAATGTGGCAACTGAATTTTAAAAATTTGTCACATTTGACCTATCCTGACGAAGATTAAATGACAACACGCGATGACAAAGACATTGAAATAATAAACCTAATCTGACAAAACATTGGTCTAATATGACAAAAACTTACCATCACAATAGGCCGAATTATCGTGCAATCTCAACACGAAATCAGGAGAAGGCTGGAACAATATAAGGGTAGCAACTCGACCACAATCAAGGGGAATACTTGATTGATACAGAGCTCGCCCTCATGCTGGAGATCCACCAACAAACAAGCACAAAATCCATGAGTAAAAACTCAATGACCCGAAAAGGGTTTTCCATTATCAAATTTTTGAATAATCTGAATAGTCTGCTAAAATTCGTGGCTTACATCACTTTAAATAGGTATTGAAAATAAACATAATGAAAACACCAAAAAGGAAAAGAATTCTACACAAAAGGTAACAAAAATCGGTAGGACCAAGAACCCGGTCAAAATACCCGGTCGGGTATTTACATGCCCCAGCCGGGGGTGCTTCTGTTATGAATTACCCTTGTCTTCATCAAAATACCCGGTGTCCTTTCCAAAGTACCCGGTCGGGTATTTGCCCATGTTGGACGAGTATTCCTTCTGCAACGATTCTGGAATCCACTCAGAATAGCTTCACAAGGTTCTTGAAATTAGCTATGAAATCTACTCGAAGCTAAAGACAATAGGCAAATTCTCGAGACACACTCAAAAACTCAAAACACTCACGTAGGAGCAATTTTCATTCAACACTACTTGATTCTTTACAGCATGAAATTGAAAGCTATTTAAAGACAATAAAAACCTAATGTAATTAGGAATAAATTAATTTAAAAAAAAACTATAGAAAGGTTTCGAATTTTGGACTCAATCTCTCTTTCTTGAAACACAAGTAAGCTGCCTTTTAGCACAAGCAAACTGCCAGAAAAATAGTTATTGTACTAACTTCGTGCCTTTCGTTTCAGGCCTTCTAGAACTCCAATCTTTCATCCAATTCCTTCCCTTTGTATACAAACATACCTAGGTTCATGTTGTGGAAGCTTTTGGACTCGAATCAGATCGATGCTCCTCGAATTGAGCTCCAAAGTAGGTTTCACAACCAGTTTTCTGCCTTAGCCATTTTCAGGCATGTTTCCTGTTTCGAGGGAGGATTTTGGGGAGCTTGGAAAATGACCTTGTAGACTTCCCCTTGAGATTCCAAGCATACCAATGTGTAGATAACCACTCCACGTTCAATACAAGCCATTAATCTTGAATTTCCATTGAGCCAATTGAGAGAACCATGCCTCCGAAGTAGCAACCTTGAACTCGGAAAATAACTTAGCCAAATTCTGCCTTTCTTCTTGCCAACTTCGATAGCTTCTTCAAAAAGTAATTTTGGCTCGTTGATTAACCGATTTGGGTTCATATCATAATGCCTCAAAATGATTCCATGCATCGTATAAATCTTCACTCTCTTCCCGTTGGAAATTTGTGATCTTACGCCGGATCTCGTTAGCCCTCCATTTGGGGAATAATTCTTCTATGAAGGATTTCGAAAGGGCTTCCCATGTAGTAAAGGTGTTCTCGGAAATTTCCTTAACCATTCTCCTACTTTTCCATCTAGGGAATAAGCAAAGAGTTGCATTCTCATTATACGTATGCCTATATGTGATAGACCGTTAGTTACACATGTTTTCACCCCTGTTCTTACACCGTTGGAGATGTGGTTTCTCGTGTTTTAGACCGATTTCACGCTAGGTTGTGCTTGTTTGTGATATTTCAGGTCCTGGCAAGTGAATGAAGGTTTAGGAGCGAGTTCGGGGTCGATTGGGTAAAGATCGGGTGCGAGACAAGTCACAAAGGAGGTCACACGGGCTGCCCTGATGTTCACACGGCCGTGTGAAGGAATGGCCTGGCCGTGCGAGTTTTGCCGAGAGCACACACGGGCAGAGCAGACAATCCACACAGCCCTGCAAGTGGCCGTTTTGGCCGTGCCACATTCTACGAGAGCAAACACGGTCAAGAGGGGATGTCCACACGGCCGTGCCATTCTGGCCGTGCAATGAGCCTTGAATTCAAACTAAATGAAACGATGCGTTTTGACTCACACGGGCAACTGGCTGAGCTGCACGGCCGTGCCACCCTGGCCGTGTGAGTCGGGATTTTCTCCTTTTAAGCAGAATTTCAGCCACAATTCGGGGGGATTCGAGTTTTTGAAAGAGAGAACGATTCCTAGAGAGAGAAAGTGACGAGCAAGAGTTCCCAAGTGCCCTAGATTGATCTTCAACACCATTGGAGGCCAGCTTGAACTTGGAGAAGTGCCGATCAACGTCCAGAAGCAGGAATCCCTCCTTCGCAGTATGAATTCTGTGTCTGATTCTGCTTTTGCTTTCTTCTCTATGGAGTAGTTCTCCCATTCATCTGGGTATGGAGAACCCTAGATTTGTATGTTAGGCTTTGATTGTATGAACCCAAGTACTGATTCTGTGATTGATTATATTCGATTGAGGTTTTAATGATTGAATGACTTGAATCCTGATCAAATTCCTGTTGTTTCTGCTTTAACCTAGAATGAGAATATCTGCCTAGGTTAATAGAGTATCCTTGATTGAAGGTAGGGAGTTGGTGACTTTAGTCGAGGAGCCAACTCACTATTCTGTACCGGATTTGCTCCGGTAGTGGAGGTTTTGTTCTTAGGGCCTCAATCTGTCGACTCCGGTGGAGGTTAGTCGCCCGCTAGAGAGTCAGATTGAGAGGGTCTGAAGACCTTTAGTCGAGACTTCAGGCTGTTTAAGAACCTTCCGCAGTATAACTGTCATAGAAACTGAACTTGGTAATTACAATCCGGCTTAACTGCAGTCTAGGGGGAACCATATCCGGGTGACCTCTTTAACCTGAATACAACCAGTTTACTTGCTTTGTTTGTTTGGTAGTTTAGACTTGCACTCCAGTTTTATTGCTAGATAACAAGAACTCACTGAGTAGTCAGCAAATCTAGGACCCGGGTTGATAATTAAACCTAAACCCGCTATACTACGCTTTAGGAAGTGGTTACACTTGGCCAATTCCTGGAGTGACAGTAGAGTCGAGTCAAGTTTTTGGCACCGTTGCCGGGGACGGCTAGGTTGTTGAAGAAAAGTGATTTCTGTTAATTTAGCTTTTCTTTTTGCTTTGTTTTCTTTGTCCCACTTGTGCCTTCACGGGTTTTTTGCTTGAGTGTGTGCAGGTAGTGCATGACCCGTAGCCAGTCGGGAGGTTTACTGCCGTTGAATCCAGAGATTGACCGCACCTGTCGCCAGCTCAGGAGACAACAGCGAGCTAGACTGGCTACGGAAGAGCGCATAGACGGCCACCTGAGCAGCGATTCTGAAGAAGAGCACGGGATGGATGGAGACTACAACCAACACCAGGGGAATCCACAGCAGGTTCCCCCGGTAAATCAGGTCCTGGGGAACAACCCCATACCCCAGGACCATGGAGTTCATCATCCACCGCAGCCGGGTCCCACCTTGGAGTACTACTACACTCCGCGGATTGCTGACATCCGCCCGGTCATCCTCTACCCGCCGATCCCAGCAAACAACTTCGAGATCAAGCCATGCTGGATTCAGCTCATTACATCTTCTATCCAGTTCCATGGCTTGAAGAATGAGGAGGCCAGGGTGCATCTTTCCCGTTTTCTGCAGCTGACAAACGGGTTCAAGCTGAATGGTGTCCCGGATGATGCGATCCGCCTTCATCTTTTCCCCCATTCTCTGGCGGGGAATGCTAAGAGGTGGTTGGAGACCCAGCCCCCATTGTCTATCACCTCTTGGGACGATCTGGATGACAAGTTCGTGCACCGGTACTATCCAGCATCGAAGACTACAGAGATTCAGCGGGAGATCACTCACTTCCGCCAGGAGCCAGATGAGTCACTTCGTGATGCTTGGGAGCGGTACATGGGCTATTTCTGGCAGTGCCCCCATCATGGCTTCAGCGATGCATTCACAGTGGGGAACTTCTACAGTGCCCTTTTTCCAGATAGCCAGAGGGTGATTGAGTCTTTATGCCCAGGAGGGGATGTTCTCACTAAGACTCCACCAGAGCTGAATCAGATGATTAATACATTGGCTGCCAGAGATCATTCTTGGGGGCAGAGCAGCAGGGGCAGACAGTCCCGGGACCGTGGTGTGCACGCCATGGAGACCAGATCCGGGCTCGAGCAGCAGGTAGCTGAGCTAGTGCGAACATTGAAGCAGCCTAACAGTCTGATTCCGGGCAGAGGTTTGGCTACACCTCCAGTTGCTCAGTGTCAGTGGTGTGAGAGCTCCAGTCACCTAGTGGAGGACTGCCAGGCTATGAGGGAGTCTACCACACCCCAGGAGCAGTTGGCCTTCATCGCCAATGCGAGGCGCCTCGATCCATACAGTAGCACATATAATGAGGGGTGGCGCCTGCATCCCAACTTTGCCTGGAGCAGCAACACCACTAAACCACCTGGTTTCCCAGCACCAGCAGGTGGTTTTCAGCAGAGGCAGCCCTTCCAGGCTTGCCAGGGGCCAGACCCACAGCAGCAGCCCTACCAGCCCAGGCAGGGCCAGCCATTCCAGCAGCCCCAACGCCAGTTTGCCGAGCCAGTAGCAGCTCCAGCCCCAGATGACAGGATGACGAAGCTGGAAAACATTCTAGCTTCATTCATGACGAGCACTCAGGCGACTATCACGAGGTTAGACCAGAGTGTAGCCTCACTGGAGGCAGGTCAGAGGAACCAGGGTGCCATTTTGCAGGATTTGCAGACCCAGGTGGGCATCTTGGCCCGCCAGAGCACTACCAGGGCACCGGGGACTTTGCCTGCCACCACTGTCCCGAATCCTCGAGAGCCTCACCAGCATCAGCAGCTGGATGCCATTTTTACCAAGAGCGGTAAGACCATATCTGCTGATCTTGTCCCGGCCAGACAGGAGGAACCACTGACTGCTTCAGCACTTCTAGCCGACGATGCAGAAGTGAGGGTGGAGAAGGAAGCCCCTGCTCCCAAACCACAACCAGTGGTTAAGGAGCATGTGCCCCAGCTTCCCTTCCCCACTCGCCTACACAAAGACAAGCTGGAGACTGAGTTTGCCAAGTTCATGGCAATGTTGAAGCAACTCAACATCAGCATACCGTTCGTGGAGGCACTGTCGAAGATGCCCAAATATGCCAAGTTCATGAAAGATCTCTGCACCAACAAGAAGAAACTTGGGGATCTCTCGACAGTGTTGCTGAGCGAGGAGTGTTCTGCTATCCTGCAGAACAAGCTGCCCGAGAAGCGCAAGGATCCAGGGAGTTTTACTATCCCTCTTACTATTGGCAGCATGCATGTAGGAAAGTCCTTGGCGGACCTAGGCGCTAGCATTAACGTCATGCCATATAAGTTGTATAAAATGCTAGACCTAGGTGAACTTAGCCCTACTAGGATGAGCATTCAATTAGCTGATCGTTCTCTCGTGCATCCTAAGGGTATCATTGAGGATCTGCTTGTTAAAGTAGGTACATTCACATATCCTGTTGATTTTGTTATTCTTGATGTACATGAGGATGTGGATGTGCCTTTGATTCTAGGTAGGCCATTTCTTGCCACCGCCAAGGCACTAATTGATGTGCATGATGGTAAACTGATCCTGCGTGCTGGGAATGAACAGACTACTTTTTCTGTGACTGAGTTTGATCACTGTGCTATGATTGCTGTCACGCCTGTGAATGCCATTTCTGATCAGGTACACGAGTCTGTCGTGTATCCTTCTACACCTCTCATTTTGCAGGACCCTCCTATCCTTCCTTCGCCGCCACTCCATCCAGTCTCGCCTCCGAACAAAATGCTCAAGGAGGAGTGGCGGCCGAAGCAGCAGGTTGCTAAGCCTGCACGGAAGAAGAGTGGAGATCACTATGAGCTGGTCCCACCCCCTGCACCACGACCACCCTGGCCGTCTGGGTACTCGCTCTCCTGCATCTTGCCAGATGGGCAGGTCGAGCTGACTGATGAGGGTGGTCGCATCCGTCGGGTGCATGGCCACAACCTGAAGCTGTACCTCAAGAGCGACGTGGATTCGCTCTTGGAGGCACCTGTTCCTGCACCGCCCTGAGTATCCGCCATGGGCGTCCAGCTAATACGATAGTAAAGAAGCGCTTGTGGGGAGGCAACCCCACCACGGTTTGATTTTCTTTCTTGTGTATTGAGTCGGATTGTAACCCGGTTTGGGTTTGGTTTGTTTTTCTTTTGGTTTGGATGATGTTTTATTGGGCTGACCATTGGACCTAACATACTGTGTTGAGCTCTTTGGTTTCCTCTCGCTGTGCGTGTCTTGACTGGTCCCCTCTTCAGTCCGCTTCACCCGACTGGCCCGTTTCCAGTCCCCTGCAGTCCGTGCATACCGGTAACATCTTTCCCTATCCCTTCCCTCTTCTCCATTGAGGGCAATGTCGATCTTAAGTGTGGGGGGGGGGGGGTGTTTATCTTTTGACTGCATTAGATCTGTTTGTGTGCTTGGAGCCTAGTCCACTGTCCAAATTTTTAAATTTGAGGGCTCCAAGTACGTGTTTCCTTGCAATTGCCTGCTCAGTATGCTTTGAATTGACAGTCTTTACAGTAATATGCAACCTAGGGAGGTAGTGTAGCACTATGGAGGATGTTGATGCATTTAAGAAGTCTCATTTCTTCTTCATATTGAGTTGGTTGATTGAGTGAATTAGTGATCTTAGGACCCTTGAATTGTGTGGTGTTGTGGATTCTCTACCTGTCATGGACTCTTGTATCATGTTTTGAGTTTAACAGGTGCTCGAAAATGTGCTTCAAAATAACGTCTCCCGTGCGAATAGGGCGAAAGTGTGTAAGGGGAGACGGGAATCCGTTCCCAATTTCCACCTACTACCTCCAGCCCCCTTACATGTCTTTCCCCCGCACGAGGCTCGAGACATCCGCTCCTGGCATGGCCGGTAAGAGCAGGTTGGGACCCTTGAAAAGAAAAGAAAAGAAAAACAATAGAAAACAAGCAAAACGAAAAAAGGGGGCCCAACCATCTTCAAGAAGAAAACAGAGCACCTAGAAAAAATGTGAGTCCATGATCTTTTGTTTTTGAGAATCTCTTCATCCACGATTCATTTGTCCTCTGTTAACTATTTGCCATGATGCCGACTCGCTGAAGAAGTTATGAGATGGCTTGTGCGTCGGTTGACCTCGTAAGTTGCTAATTGACCTAGGAAGTCCTCTACCTACGATCTGGGTTGTTTGTTGCTATAGAGGTCTGGAGAGTTGCATTGGTTTGAGTTAGGTTTGCTTGGGGACAAGAAAACGGTTAAGTGTGGGGGAGTTTGATAGACCGTTAGTTACACATGTTTTCACCCCTGTTCTTACACCGTTGGAGATGTGGTTTCTCGTGTTTTAGACCGATTTCACGCTAGGTTGTGCTTGTTTGTGATATTTCAGGTCCTGGCAAGTGAATGAAGGTTTAGGAGCGAGTTCGGGGTCGATTGGGTAAAGATCGGGTGCGAGACAAGTCACAAAGGAGGTCACACGGGCTGCCCTGATGTTCACACGGCCGTGTGAAGGAATGGCCTGGCCGTGCGAGTTTTGCCGAGAGCACACACGGGCAGAGCAGACAATCCACACAGCCGTGCAAGTGGCCGTTTTTGCCGTGCCACATTCTACGAGAGCAAACACGGGCAAGAGGGGATGTCCACACGGCCGTGCCATTCTGGCCATGCAATGAGCCTGGAATTCAAACTAAATGAAACGATGCGTTTTGACTCACACGGGCAACTGGGTGAGCTGCACGGCCGTGCCACCCTGGCCGTGTGAGTCGGGATTTTCTCCTTTTAAGCAGAATTTCAGCCACAATTCGGGGGGATTCGAGTTTTTGAGAGAGAAAACGATTCCTAGAGAGAGAAAGTGACGAGAAAGAGTTCCCAAGTGCCCTAGATTGATCTTCAACACCATTGGAGGCCAGCTTGAGCTTGGAGAAGTGCCGATCAACGTCCAGAAGCAGGAATCCATCCTTCGCAGTATGAATTCCGTGTCTGATTCTGCTTTTGCTTTCTTCTCTATGGAGTAGTTCTCCCATTCATCTGGGTATGGAGAACCCTAGATTTGTATGTTAGGCTTTGATTGTATGAACCCAAGTACTGATTCTGTGATTGATTATATTCGATTGAGGTTTTAATGATTGAATGACTTGAATCCTGATCAAATTCCTGTTGTTTCTGCTTTAACCTAGAATGAGAATATCTGCCTAGGTTAATAGAGTATCCTTGATTGAAGGTAGGGAGTTGGTGACTTTAGTCGAGGAGCCAACTCACTATTCTATACCGGATTTACTCCGGTAGTGGAGGTTTTGTTCTTAGGGCCTCAATCTGTCGACTCCGGTGGAGGTTAGTCGCCCGCTAGAGAGTCAGATTGAGAGGGTCTGAAGACCTTTAGTCGAGACTTCAGGCTGTTTAAGAACCTTCCGCAGTATAACTGTCATAGAAACTGAACTTGGTAATTACAATCCGGCTTAACTGCAGTCTAGGGGGAACCATATCCGGGTGACCTCTTTAACCTGAATACAACCAGTTTACTTGCTTTGTTTGTTTGGTAGTTTAGACTTGCACTCCAGTTTTATTGCTAGATAACAAGAACTCACTGAGTAGTCAGCAAATCTAGGACCCGGGTTGATAATTAAACCTAAACCCGCTATACTACACTTTAGGAAGTGGTTACACTTGGCCAATTCCTGGAGTGACAGTAGAGTCGAGTCAATATGCGAGAGGGAGATTTTTTTTTTGTGATTTCATGAAACTAGTAAGATGGACAATAGGATCCTCATCTTACAAACCCCTAAAGGTGCAGTGATCATTCACGAGTTAGATGGTATTGCTATTCACGTCAATATTACCCTTGGTTACTGTGGGCTGAGTGATATCGGACCGCATGTCAGTTGCACTTGGCCAAAACTAGTCAGCCAAGGTCCGAATCACCTCTCCCATCTTGCTGGGGATTGATTCAGTTGTTCTGGACAATGGGCAAGGAGAAGTCGAGAAGCAGGAAACCATGCCAAAACTGCACCTTGTTCGCAAAAATGTAATGAGAGGGGTGTTCAAAGGGTCGTGTTGGGGTGAAATTTTGCGAGATGTCCTTGGAAATGGTGCTAAAACTTGATATGTCATGTAGTGTATAGCAAATTTATCTGGCCCTAAGAATAGGATCGTATTTCCCTAGTATTTCTTGCATAACCCTTACTTTAAAAGTGAGGTACGATTATGTTGAGGAAGAGATCAGTTTTAAGAGGTTGAGGTGACTCCGATTTTGCGAAACGTAAGAGTTCGAAGATTAAAGTGGTGTAGGAAAGTAAACCATAATCTAGCGAGCTCTCCCCCTAAAAACCAACAACAATAGCTTTATAGTATGAAGAACCAGGCCAAATACAGTCCGTAACACAATTGTTTCATCAAATCCTGTTCGCCTCTAACTACTGTATTTCATTCGTCTATTGGAGTAAAGTTGGTCAGGAAGTCTAACACGACCAAGGAACACAAGCGTGTTTTAGGTTGTGTTCTTCATTCTTTCATCAATCCACGCCATTTTGGACAGACTCACGGTGGAGACGTGACACTTCCAACAACTTCGAGAGACTTGATTTGCCATCTAATCCACAACACAAGACATGGGCAATGAACATGATCGTGTTGGCTGGTCGTTTTACTATAAGAAATTGTAAGACACGTGCCTTGGAGAACATGATCACTTTCCTACGTCGTGATAATGAACCCTAAGCCATTCCTATTGGTTGGTAGAAATCTATGTAGTCAACAACGAGTTGGTGGTTAATAGGTTATTACGGTCAAATGAGATATTATTAATATATTTAAAACTTAATAGCGAAAAAAATTGAAAACCCTAATCCCAACCTGCCGCCCTATTTCTCCAAAACCTTTCTTTCAATAATGACCATCGACGACCTCTCCTCTCGTCCCCATCGACGACCCGCCCTAAGGCCGCCTATGATCCCGCAAACACTTCTTCCCTCTCTCTGCTCCCGAAATCTTGGTGACGAAGGCATAAAAAAGAAGGATACGACAACAACATCTCCGCCATCCGCCATCCCCTCCTCAACACCGCATCCCTCATTGACGTAGCTACCGACGATAACTTTCTATGTCTGTGAACCCGTATTTGAAATGGATACTCAGCGAGGTTCTTAATGATAACAAAAATGTTACCAATTTAACAATTAAACGTGAATAATGGTGAAAAAACGTTGCTAACTTAGAAATAAAATATTACTAAAGAAAAATTGACGAATTTGTAACAAAAACGTTAATAATGGTAATAAAAACGAATTGGTAACTCAGAACACATACCAACTTCCTCGACCAGTATGGAAACCTAAACTCTAGATTACCCTTAAACGATGACAAGGACCGAATTCCTCGACAAAGAAACTAGGCGGAAAACCACACGACAAGCATCAGCGACTGAAGAATTAGAAACGACAAGCAATAGTGGCCAATAGACCGATGATATTTGTGGACTGCCTTTTTGTGACCACGATTTGACTCATTAAAACACAACTCTTAACAATGGCCAAGTGTAACCAATGAAAGGAGTTGCAGTATAGTGACATAAGTAATAAATATCGAATCCACGGGTCTAGCATACCAGATTAAGACAGACAAATTATAAGTATTACTGACCTTCAGTTAAAATTAATCTAGCAAACCAGATTAAGACAGACAAACTATAACTACTACAGTTAAAATTAATCTAATCACAGGTTGGGAACTCACTTAGGCATGATTCCCCCTACATCATGAATTATGTCCAAGTTTTAAATCCCTTTAGTTGTTTTACTGATGATTATAATGTGGAAGATCTGATAGTAGCTTGGAATCTCTAAAGTTGACCAAGCCCTCTTAGAAAAGGTACCCGCGGGCGACTAACCTTCACAAGAGTAAAATGCTAAGGCAATACACAAAGATCTCCACTACTGGAATGAATCCTAGTACAGAGTAGTGAATCGATTGACTCTTGCACAACCAATCTACTACTTCCAATTGAAGAGCTCTCTTTACCAAATCAGATTAATTATATCCTTGGTTAAAGCAAAAATCAAAAGAATGTTATCAAAACTCAATTGATTCAAATAATTGCCTCAATTGA